TAGACTTGAATACCGAATAGTTTTCAATAATATTTTCTTTTCCTTTTTTGGTTAGTGGCAATTTCCGTTACCATAAACTCCTTTATTTCAACTTCACAGAGCCAGGAAACAAGTTATGGGCTTTCGAAAATGTTCCAACGAAGGTTGTTTTCGACATTTGACAGCTGGCAGGATTCTGAATTCAGGATGCAGGATTGGCTGCATGGGCATTTCCCTATATTTTCCCTTAATTGGCCACCCAACGTGCGTGTGTGTGTGTGCGCTTCGCTTTGCCTCCCAATCTTGCCACCCTCTCTAACCGTCTCTTTCCCGCACGTGTGAGCCATGTAAAACGGGGGTTACATGACATTGAAACCGATTTTGAAGGTTTCAACGCTTTGTGTCTCTGGACAGGGTAAGTTCTACTGCTTCGCCAGAAATACCTACGAGAAGAAAAACATCGGAACGAAAAAAAAAAAAAAAAAAAAAAACCAACGAAAAACAGACACAAAACCAGAATAAAGCGTTGCCCCTTTTTTACGGGCTCTTCCTTGTTTCTTTGCTGTAATGGCGAAATATACACAAAATTTTGGAATCTCTCTGACGCCCTTGTCACTACATTTTTGGTCATTGGCCTCGCACGAACACACACACAGATACGAACGCCAGTGGCGTCCGCTGGGGATCTCCTGGGGGAGGAAATACCGAAATCTAATTTCTTTTTATTCCGAAAAGAGTAAGAAATTGTAGCCATAACTATTCCCAATATACTGGGCAATTAATCTAATTATTCTCAAGCCTTGTTCTATTGGCAAACCCCCCTTTGGAATATGGAGCCCCCTTGAGAAACGCCCGCCTACGCCCCTGTTACCCATACGTTTGTGTGTATGTGTATACCGATGTAGAGCCATTTGGGACTTGGTAACAAGCGGCAGTCGTAATGCGAAGAAGCAGGGAGCAAAAACAAAACAATGCCAATGCCCAGACCCTAACCGCCAACCCCCCCTCCCTCCGCCCTTCTCTCCTTTCTGGATCCAACCCCCCCCTCGCGCGCCCTGTGCAGAGTCCCCAAGTTCCAGGCGTTGTTATCGTGCGTTCGCCAACCCACCCGCTACTCACACACATACATACATCGGCAATCAGGAAGAAGAAACCAGCCAATAAAGTTGTGGTGGCGATAGCGCCGCACTTCGCATGCCCTTCTCTATAATCAACTGTTCTATAAATCATCATTTTGAAAATAAAAAAATATAGTAAACTATTTCTTATAAATGGACCTATGAAAACAAATTAAATCTTAAGTATGTATCTTTACCTATCCTACATTAATATCCCTTATTATAGAAAAGTACCTACATACTTATTCGTAGGTATTCAAACTATTTTTAAACCAAAAACAGATATTCTACGTTAAAAAAATATAGTATCTGATTTATCATTACTTTGTATTATGTACTTATTAAATTTAATAAAATAGGTGACATTAAAGAAAATAGCTGTAATACCCGCATTCGCATATCGGATCTTAAAAGAAAGTAAAGAAATCAATGGAGAAATGACCACAAAAAAGGGCATCTGGGAAGTCGTTGATATAATTAGATTTTTAGTGGCATCAAAATCGTAGTCATCGACATTCAGCATCAACGATTGTTTATCAATGTGTAAATAAGCAGCGTTTCGTATTCGTGTTCGTATTTCGTATCTGTGTGTGCGTTCCCAAAAATTTCAATAGCAAAGGTCGATGAACTCGACAGCCAGAGAGTGGGCAAGAGAGAGAGAGAGAGAGCGAGAGTAAGAGCGCACATTTTAAGTTTTTTTTTTTCAACTTTTCTTCTGTTCCGCATTTCTCTGAAAATTTCTCTCTACTCTCTTTCCGTCTCTCTTTGCTGTTGAATTTGCGCGCGCTTCCTCGTTGCGTTTCATTCATAAACAGAGAGCGGCGAACTCGAACTCGAACTTTGTGTGTTTTTTTTTCGAGTTATCTCGGCCAGGCCAACGAACCGGGCTCTGACATGTGCTTCTGCCCCTCCCCCTCCCCCTGCACCTTGCCACCCCCTCCGTGAACTTTAAGGCGCGGTGACTAAGCGCGCCCTCTTAAACTGCTGAACTTAGGCCCAGTCTATGGGGCTGAAGAACCACCACCCCCAATTCCCACCCACCGCTAACCGCCGGCAATTATAATGTCATCATTCGGATTATTGGTCAGTAATTAAAGTGTTTCGCGATTTGGTGAAATGCCTGGGTTATGGTATTTATGTTATTAGGTATTTATGGGCTATGCATCTGAATTCCCTTGGTTGGGATAATTAAAGGAGCTTCTCTTAACAGAATAGCATAATTTCCAGAGATTAATAAGATATCTGGATATTTGAAAAAAAATGTTAAGGATCATAGAAGTTTTGAACCCTTCATAGTTCTATTAAACAAACTAATATGTGCTATTGTACCTATCATTTTATAACTCCATATTTTAGAGAACTCAAAGCCAGGGACCGTAAATAACAGTTATTTGTGATTTTTATTTTAAAAGGCCTACTGAGATTTGTACAAGTTTTAATCAACAATTTAACTGGTTTTTATGCACTTTATAAACATGAACAAATAACAATTAATTTGCTTTCCAGATTTGTTGAAATGCATATACTTTGTGGACAAGAGTAAAAAGAACGTTATTTTTGACGTTTAAAACCAAATATCACAGTAGTCTTTTTAAAATAAAAATCACAAATAACTGTTATTTACGGTCCCTGCTCAAAGCATATTCTTTAGTATACAAATTCTAGAAAGATAATACGTTAAAAATGGTTGAGAGCCTAGAAAGATATGGAATCTTAAGGTCCCCATCTTTATGCAGGATAATATAAGTTATTTTCTCGCCAAGATCAATAAGACGTTGGACCTTAAGATTCCTAATTTAATATAACTAATAAGGTAATAAAACTAAGGGTTCTCCAAAGATCCCTCTTTTATATGATGGGATGTTCTGCGAATGATATCCTAAAATATAACTTTTTCCCCTCAAGTTTTTTCTTAGTATCTGGGGGATCTTCAAGGACTCCCTTTGTTTTTTTATAGTAGGGTGTCCTGCTAGGGGTACTCACTTCAATTGGTCCCGTTGCAGCGGTGGCATCTTTGTGGCATTCGGCTGGCGCTTCTTTAATGGCCAGCGTTTGCGAATACCGTTGATCCTGGAGCCGAAAGCGATACGGATATCGATAGTGGTGGTGATGGAACTGGGGCGATATCCATGCTCTGCCAGCAAGCGATTCTCCGATTGGCGTTAGAAGTTGATTAGCGGTTGGTTTTAATCACTATTTTTTAGAGCTTTCTTTTTTTTCAATTATTTTGTAGCACACTTCACAGCAAGACACAGGCTCTGCTTCTTCTTCTTTGTATTTTTTGGGGGTTTGGTTTCGGGTTTGACAAACTTTTAATTACCACTGTGGTTGGTAATGTGTTCACTTTAGTGTTTTTTCATGCGTTTTGTTTTGAGGTTGTGGAACTCAAGATTTCGGGATTAGCAGCTGTTGATTTTTGCTCGGGGCTTTTTAGTTATATTTGCATTATTTTTGGGGCGGGGGAAATGTCAGCTGCAACAGAACACACACATAAAAAAATGGAATTAAAAAACGTCAGTGGCAAAGTTGCATTATGCATTTTACATTTTTTCGCCGCACACACAAGCAAACACACACAAAACAAAAACAAAGCCAATTTCCTTTTTTTGGTATCCTTTAGATAAATATGAATTCTTGTTGTTGTCCTTCTTGAACTTTTTATTTTTTTAATATTTCTTGTATATTTTTTTTAAACTATGCTTCTGTTGCACTTGTCAAATTGTCGCACACACACACACATACACAATGCACTTTGCTGCTAGAGCGAGATGGAGAGAGTGGGGGCGAGCTGGGTGCCCTTAAATTAATTTCATATATCCAATCTTTGGTGGCGAAAAAAAATCTCTGGCGAGGCAACAAAAAACGTAAAAAAAAAGTTATTTCTTGTATTTCGATATTGTAATTTTTGTGGAACCAAACCAACAACGGAAATGTCGTTTGGTCTGCGAAGCGTTTGCTTTCCGGGCGCGCGACTAACTCGCTGCGAACGTCGACGTTGAATGTAAAACGGCGCTGCAGCGCGGCGGTAGAAGAGAGCGCCCTAAGAGCGCCGCCGGGAGCGGGCCCCTCTCTCGCCGACGGCTCGCGCTCTTCTCTTTCGTAAGAGAAAAGTTCGTTGCCTCTGTTGTTTTTGCCAAAGCGACTGTTAAATTTAAAGTCAACTACTTTTATAGGGCAGTTGGGAAAATTTTTTAAAATTTTAAAAGTATTTATTTTCTAAACCAGTGTTAAAAAAAATTGCAATGATTTTTTTGTATATTTCTTGGCGCTGCCAATTATGAAACAACATTAACTAAAAAAATATTAACAATTTAAAAATATGTATATTTGGTTTTAGGGGTAAACATTAAAGTTATTTTTTTATAAATAATACAATTTCCAGAGATAAGAACTTTGGCTTCATGGCTTGATGTTCATAAATGTGACATAACACTCTCACCAAATTTCATAATCATTAAATCTTTTTGTTTTTTTTTGTAAATAAAGAACTAAGTTTTTCAATATATAAATAAATATTGGTGAATAATTCGAAATTTAAGAAAATGCTGACATGTTCCTATACAAACTAAAAGCATCTTTTAGCTCGGCATTTAAAAACATAGCTTATAGAAAAGAAGTTAATAGCAAAATAAAACAAATCCTTTATTCTAAATCAAATAAATCCGACAAACATCAATGAAAATATGGACAATTACAAAGTGTTATTATTCAAGCTATATATTATAACTTATAGATAAAAAGTTAATAGCAAAATAAAACAAATCCTTTATTCTAAATCAACCAAATCCGACAAACATCAATGAAAATATGGACAATTACAAAGTGTTATTATTCAAGCTATATATTTTTTAGTTCTTTTTCTTATAACCTTTAACTTTTTTATACAGTTTTGTATACTATTATTTAGCAGCCGATGGTGTTGGCATTGATGAACTGGACGAACAGCGAGGGCACCTGCTCCAGCGGAGTGGGCGCCGTCTGGCTGGCGCGGCACGTGCTCGTGATGAACTTCTGGCGCAGGCGGTTCAGCTGGAGGGCGCTCATCGAGGTGGCCACCTTGACGGGACAACTGCTGCCGGGGATGCGCAGCTGGCCGAAGGCCTTGATCTTGACCGCTCCAAGGATCTCCTTGATGATCGCCTGCATGATGTTGTCCAGTTCGAACAGATAGTTGGTGGCCCCCAGCGGTGGCTGCAAAAACCAGAGTTTTAGTTAGCTATGCATATGTACATATGTAGAACAATTACAGACATTCTGGGTGCTCTGGTTGGGCGGCAGGGGCTGCGTCTCGTAGAGGGCCTTGTAGATGGCCTCCACATCGAGCGTGTCCTCGGGCAGGGCGACCACCAGGGGGCTGTCCCAGCGGTTGTTGCTCTGCGGCTCCTCGTAGCGCATGCACAGGGCATCGAAGGTCTCGCGGCTGTAGGCCACATCCGAGTTGTCCGCCACCAGCTCATCCGGCGCCGTTCGCTGGCCATTGAAGCGCCACGCCTGCTCCTGGGGAATGCAGCAGAACAGCGTGCACTGCGTCGTCCTGGACGCCTTGGTCATGCAGTACAGTTCGTAGCGATAGCCTGAAACGTACGATTTGTAGGGATTAGGAACTTAATAGCGGCTTGAATCTCAGTGAGCCTATACCCTTGATGTAGTTGCCCGCGTCCAGGATGACCACATCCTCCTTGTTGAGGTGTCGCGAGGCCTCCGACTTGAGATCGCTGCGCACCACCTTCTCCTTCTGCGAATCCGCGGCATGCGAATTCTTGCCAAAGAGCGCCTTCGGCACCGCCTCGTTCTCGCTGATCAAATGCACCTTCCTCCCGCGCTCCACGAAGTGATCCCGCAGCTGGCGGGCCCGGGTGGACTTCCCGCTGGCCGGCAGACCGGTGACGACCACAATCGGCATTCCTTATCCTGGTCAAAGCAATAAATAAACAAAATAAAAACAGTCCGGTCGTCCACGATTGGAGGCAGTGTTGGCTAAGTGCGTTTTTGCGCTGACAGCTTAGCTTGTTTAGAGCTAAATCTAACTATGGAAAAAGTATCGCTGAAAACCGCTATCAATATTAAATTTTATTTTATTTTACTTTTTTTGCAATTGTTTGTAAAAAATCGTATAAAAAAATTGAAAATGGGCCCAAATTTTATTTTTCCAAGAACACCCGTGTCATTCATTTATTTATTTTTTGTTATCTGTTCAGAACAGTACGTATTTTTGGTGTACGACCATTTTTGGCCAAGTTACAGCAAAAAAACAAACATACAAAAATTCAAATTTTTACCAAAAACCCAGATCCCAATTTTTTACAAAAAAATAATTCGTTTTTTGACCATAACAATGGAAATATTGATCCAAATGTGGATTGTCATACCTTTCTGAACTCGTTGTTAGATTTCCAATCGATTGGCTTTTAAACCTTGACATTTTATTTTTTTTTCCATTTTTCGTAAAAAATCATGATGTATAAAAAAATTGAAAATTTGCGAAAATTTTATTTTTTCAAGATCACCCGGAAAGTGTCATGGATTTATTTATTGTTTTGTTAGCTGTTCAAAACAGTATGCATTTTTGGTGTACGAGCATTTTTGGCCAAGTTACAGCGAAAAAACCACAAAAAAAAAACCGGTTTTTGCCCAAAAACACAAATTCTGATTTGGGACCAATTTTTGGCAAAACTACAGCACTAAAATATACTATATATATCATTTATTATTTTATAAATGTTTGTAGAATGTGAATTAATTCTGTTCTATATTCTAGACATTTTTTACGCTTTGAGCTATTTTAGCTTTTTTCCAGCTAGAATTTCCATGGCAACAGCACAGCTGTTTATGTATCGCCCAGTGTGTTCAAATCACAAACGTGTTCAAATCCAAGGAAAGGGGTTCCAGGTTCCAAGATACAAATAACCGGCCACCGAATGGCCGAACCCCGTCGCCGTTTCCGCAACAAGAAGCGCGATGACTCCTCCGCCGGCCTCCTGGCGCCGGTGACCATTGCCCGTCGCGAGGACGCCCGCATGGTGCAGCCGAAGATTCTGCTGAAGAAGGATCGCGACCGGGACAGGGAGTGGGACAGGGACAGGGAGAGGGAGAGGGACAGAGATCGGGAGGCGGAGCGGGACAAGGAGAAGGACAAGGAGACGGAGGCGACTCCCGGCTGCTATCCCGATGCCCCGGCGGCCATCAAGACGATCATCATCAATCGGACGAGCGAGGTGCGATGTCCGATGGGCATAACAGGAATAGGAGGAGCAGGAGGAGCAGGAGGCGTATCATCCGGAGGCGCTCCCCTCCCAGCCACCCTGCCCTCCGGCTCCGTTTGCGCGGCATTGGTTAGCTCGGCTTCGAATGGCCGGGAAAAAGGAACCACCACCGCTCCACCCAATCCCCTCCAGGAGCTGCAGCCGCCGCGGATGAACCGCCCCACGCCGCTGATCGTGGCCAACGGGATCTTCAATGCCAATGCCCGCAAGCTGTTCCACAAAACCAACACGGACTTCACCGTCATCGGCGTTCTGGGTGGCCAGTGCTCGGGGAAGAGCACGCTGCTCAATCTTTTGGCCACGGAGCGGCCCCTGGACTACGACTACTACCAGCATCTGCTCTCTCCCGAGGCGGATGAGTGCATCTTTGCCACGCGGCACAAGGCGAAGCCGAACAATAATAATAATAGTAAAATGCGTCCGCGCACCGAAACGCTGCAGTTCTTCATCACGCGCGAGCGTCACATCCTCCTGGACACGCCGCCTCTGCTGCCGGTGGGCAAGGAGCCGGATCACCAGGACCTGCACTCCCTCGCCGCCATGGCGCAGCTGCTGAGCGTGTGCCATGTGCTCATCCTGGCCATCGACGGCCTGGCCGTGGAGCAGCTGCGTCTGTTGAACGCCGCTTTGCGCCTGCGTCCGACTTTTCCCTGCAAGGGCTATGTGCGTGATCATCTGCCGCAGGTGCTGTTCGTGCGCAATCGCGCCCAGCGGCTGGACTTTGAGCCGCAGCAGCGCGAGCGGCTGGACAGGAAGCTGGCGTATCTGTACGGAGCCACCGGACTGCCCATTTACCGGGGCAAAGGCGAGGCGCGCTCACTAAACACCTTCCTGCTGCCCGAGGTGAGCGGCAACGGAGCCACCGCCTTCCATCCCGGCCTGGGCGAGCTAGTGCGTCAATTTCGCGAGCGCGTGCTGGGCGCCACTCGCATCTCCATGTGCCACACCAGCACCGAACTGAGCGAGGCCATCTGGTTCGAGATCCTCGCCGAGAGCGCCCGCAAGGGAGCGCCGCACTTCGAGAAGATCTATGCGGAGATCAAGCTGCGCCACCTGGACACGCGATGCCAGTGGCGGGCGGACAACTGGCGCACCTTCTCCGCAGGCGCAGAGAGCTGATCCAAGGATGATCTGCGATTCGGAGGACTTCTAGTGATTAAAGTTCCAATATCAATGCGCTGGCCTCTCGTTTTACTAAACATTTGTACAGAAACAGACAGCGGCGTTGGGGGTCGAAACGAGTCCATTTTCGAACGAGTTGTTCAAAGTTAACACTTGTATGACTGATATACACATTGTTTTGCAGATATATCATACATATCCATCATTAAATAAAAGACTCTCCAAAGGGAATAAGTTTTCCGTTGAAATTCAACGTTTAGCATTCAACATTGGTGCTTTGTTCTTTGTTTCTATCAAATCGAATCGATCAATAATACAGCTTTTGAGTTGGCAAATTGGTAAATTTGTAAACTAAGGCCACTGTAAATGAACAAATAAACATTAGTTATTTATACTTAATCCTTTTGTTTTGGTATATTTGATTGGCCTATTTCGAAACGCTCACATTTTTGAATTTGCACGATCTAAAAATTTGTTTTGGTACATTTGTTTGGCCTATTTCGATGCTATCGCTTTTCCAAAAATTTGTAGATTTGAACAAATTGAAAATCTAGCAACTCGAAATGTGTATAAAGCGTAGCGGTAAAGAGAAATTCCCTGTCTTGCCTGTGATTTAAGGTAGTGGTGATGGCATTTGTAGGTGGGTTTGAATTGAGGGTTTTTGGGTGCTGATGTTTGTTTTTGGATTCAATGGCTATCACGTTGGCTGGGCCTCCATCTCAGTCTCATGCTGCTGCTGCTCTGCCGGTTCCTTCTGCTGCTCCTCCTCCTCCTCCGCCTCGCTGTCCTCGCGCACAATGAGATCGTGTGGCTCCCGGGAGGCCTTGCGCTTGCCCCGCTGCTCCTCAAACGGATCGGGCTTGCGGCAAACCCAGAAGAGGCTCTGGTACTCGCTCTGCTTCATCGACGACGGATTCTGGGCGTACTTCGTGCGTATGCCGGTGCGCGACTTCTCGATCACGAAGCCCACGCTCTCCATGATGATGCACAGGTCCTCGAACGTCGGCTCAATGCTGTTCTGTCCGCTCACATCGCTGTAGTGGTACAGCAGCGGTCCGAGATTCACCCAAATGCCGCCGGGTACGAGAATTCTGCAAGGCAAAAGGTATTAGCATAGTTGATAAATGATGATCTCCTCGAGAGCTCACTTGTAAATGGTGCGTATAAAGTCAATCACATTATTGGCGCAATCAATGAAGAAGCACGTGGCCACGCAGTTGTACGAGTTGGGCGTCTTGTAGACCTCCAGAAAGTCCCCAGCGGCGATCTCAAAGTGGCCCTTGGGCGGATTCTTCAGCGGGCAGACGTCGGGAAAGCGCACGGCGGTCACCTGGTCCTCGCGCCTCAGGTTGTTGACATACTGGTGCACCCACGGGTACAGCACATACTTGTTCTCGTAGTCGCAGCTGCGTCGAAAGAGTTAAGAGTTAGTTAGGCCAGCTTTCCAGGCAGTTAACCTTTTCAGATCCTACTCACAGGTTGAGGACAAAGTTGGAGGCGATCAGCATGAAGTAGGAGAACTCGTTGCCCTCGCAGGAGTATCCCAGGCAGGCCAGTTCGTAGGTGAGCCTTCCCAGTCCAGCTCCCGGCACCAGGATCTTGATCTCCTTCAGCTCGCTGTGGATAGAGAGAGTTGTAAGTCACTAGGTCAATCGGATTAAAAGGGGGAAAGGGATTTACTCACTAATCGCTGGGCTTGTAGTACTCCACAATGCTGTCGATGATCGGCTTGTAGGACTGCTCCCGCTCCAGGGCGCCATCGGTGCTCCAGTCGCGCGCAATCAACTTCAGCGTCGACTGGGCCTTTAAAATTTTCAGAGGTTCTACGTCAGCTTCATCGAATGGAATATCATTCTGCGAGTTGGATTAGAGCGGGTGCGAGATACGAGGTGCGGATATGGAAGAGAAACACACAAAGAAAAGGAATATGATGGAGGCCAATAGATAAAAAGAGGAAGAACTAAAGAATTTTGCATATAATGTGGGATGTACAAGCATCTACGTATGGTTAATATTTGTGTTTATATTTTTTAAAGCTTAAGATTTAAAGAGAAACTAATTTTAGGAACTAAAACTGTTAGAATTTACAAATTAATTTCTTTTTAATGCAAAATCATGTGTTTTACTAAAATAAAATTGAAGTTAAATTAAGTAAGGAATAAAAAAAAATGTTAATGAAATCTTACAAATAATTGTGAAATTAAGAAACTGAAAAATAGAAATAAGTTACAAAATACTATGCAAAATATAATAGAAATATAAAATGATTTGTGGATAGGTTAATTTTAAGAACTCAAACTGTTACAAATTTACAAACAAAATCTACAAATTAATTTCTTTTAATACAAAATCATGTGTTTTACTGTAGGTAAATTAAGTAAGGAATAAAAAAATATTAATGAAATCTTACAAATAATTGTGAAATTAAGAAACTGAAAAATAGAAAGGAGTTAGAAAATACTATGCAAAGTATAATAGAAATATAAAATGATTTGTGGATAGGTTTTTTTGGGTAGGGATGAAGGAGTGCTCCTTGGGTTTGGGTGGTTTACCTGGTCCATATCGCCGTGCCTCACATTTGGCGGCGGCTCGTCGAACTCCCACCGGTCCGCCGAGGGATTTACGTCCGTTTCCTCCGACGGATAGAGCACGCGCTCCCGCAAAATCTCCCGGATGACCGCCTGGTTGCGATCGATGCACGTGCGCACACACTCCAAATGCCCCCGGTACTTGGCCAGCATTATTTGATCCTCCGCAGACAGGCTGTTCAGGTAATCCACGGAGCGCTTTAGCCGCTGACACGCATATGGCCTGTTTGGTGTGGGAGAAATTAATTAATTTCCATTATCAGACAATGCCACTTAGGGCCAACAAGCACGCTTGTCAACAGAGATGTGGGGTTTTCAAAATAAATATTGAAAATACAAATTTTTTTTAACACTTGGCATTAAAAAAAAACATTTAATGGAGTGAGAAATGATTTAAAAAAATTATTAATAATGCAGTGCAATAATTTATTTTCATATCTATGGATTTAAAAAAAATTTTTTTTTTATAAAAACAAAATCTAGCTTGAAATAGCCAACTAGCGTGAATACTCCCGCACCGCCAGCACTGACATGCACGCACAGGCACGAAAATGAACGGGAGTTAGTCGGCAACTAGTCTGCACATGTTGCCGCTCCCGCACCGCTCGGCCCCGCCCCCCGCTGTGCCGCCTCCATTCACCGTTAGCCGGTCGGTCATTCAGCATGTGAAGCAATGAAATTGGGGGAGCCACAACAACAACAACAGCAACACACTCACTTGTAGTAGAGGAAGGCGTTCTGCACTTTCTGGATATGCCTCTCCTCCTCCTCCTCGTTGGCGGCGAATGCCCGGGCCAGCTGCTCGTCCATCTTGGGATGCATGGGGAACGCGGCGCAATCCATTTCGCTTTTCAGTTGCCTTAAAATCGCATTGCGAACGAACTTGTACTTGGCGCTCTGCTTCTGTTCTCTCACTTCTTTATCCCCACCGCCAGCTCTTCTTCTTGCCATTAAATACTAAAAATACTAGAAATCGCTGACGGCCAAATATCGACTATCGACTATCGATAGCAGCAACGCCGACAGAAAATGGCGTCCGCCTGAAAGCCAGAAAATTGTTGTCTTTATTTGCTGTAAAATCCACGCTCACTTGACCAGACCACCAGGAAAAAGGCAAAAAAGATGGCCCTGCCGAGCAACTACAAGCAGATAGCCGTGGGCGGCCAGGGACCGGGTTCGGCGGTCGTCGGAGGAGGCGGCGGCAGCGGTGGCAGCGGCGGCGGAGGAGGCGGTAGCCGGTCGCGCTCCTCCGGCGGCGGCGGCGGTGGCGATCGCAACAAGGACCAGACGCCCATCTTCACGCACAGCAACTACGGCAATCCGGCGTTCACGCCCCAAAAGGTCACCAAGTCGTCGAGCAGCAAGAACCAGAACGAATCGCGTCTGCCGAAGCCACCAAAGCCGCCGGAGAAGCCCATCCTGCCGTATATGCGCTACTCCAAGCGCGTCTGGGATGGCGTGAAGGCGCAGCATCCCGAGCTGAAGCTCTGGGAGCTGGGCAAGAAGATCGGGGCCATGTGGAAGCTGCTGGCCGAGGAGGAGAAAACGGAATTCATCGATGAGTACGAGGCTGAGAAGCTGGAGTACGAGAAATCGCTGAAGGCCTACCACCAGACGCCCGCCTACCAGGCCTACATGTCCGCCAAGAGCAAGGTGAAGACCGACGTCGATATGCACGAGACGCCGTCGCGCGGCGGCGGCAGCAAGTCGCAGCACGAGCGGCGCATCGACATCCAGCCGGCGGAGGACGAGGACGACCAGGACGAGGGCTATACGGCCAAGCACATGGCCTATGCCCGCTACCTGCGCAACCATCGCCTGATCAACGAGATCTTCTCGGAGGCCGTGGTGCCCGATGTGCGCTCCGTGGTGACCACCACGCGTATGCAGGTGCTCAAGCGGCAGGTCAGCTCGCTGACGATGCATCAAACCAAGCTGGAGGCCGAGCTGCAGCAGATGGAGGAGAAGTTCGAGGCGAAGAAGCAGCGCATGGTCGAGTCGAGCGAGGCCTTCCAGGAGGAGCTCAAGCGGCACTGCAAGCCGGCCGTGGACGAGGACACCTTCCAGAAGATGGTGCATCGCATGTACGAGGACATCAAGCGCGATCGCCAGCGGCTGGATGAGCCAACTGCTGCGGCTGCAGCTGCTCCGGCTGCTCCCCCCGCCGCCGCTGCTCCTGTGACGCGGAGCGAGGAGCCAGCGGTGAAGCCGCCAACGCCCAGTGCCACGCCCGCTGGCCCGCAGGAGGCGCCAGTGCCTCCGGCTGCAGTGCCGCCGCCCAAGGAGACGCCAGCTGTGAAGCCAGCCACACCCACACCCACTCCGCCGCCGGCACCTCCGGCGGTGCATGTCCATGAGACGGCCAGCAAAACGGACCCGGAGCCCATGGACATTGAGCCGCCGCCGAAGCCCTCGGTGCCGCCGCCGCCCATCAAGCCGGAGAAGCTGGAGATGGCCGCTGCCCTGCCGCCGCAGTCGACGCTCGTGGAGCCGCCGCCGGCGAAGGCGGAGCCCGCCAAGGCAAGTGCCAAGGTGACCACGCCGCCGCCCGAAGCAGCAGCTCCCGTGGCAGCAGCTCCTCCGACGACGGCGACAACAACGACGACGATACCAACGCCACCGCCGGTGCAGCAGCAGGTGCCAGCTCCGCCGCCAGGCATGCCACAGATGCCACATCCGCATCCCGGCCATCCGCCACCGGGCCACTCCCTCATGCCGCCGCATCTGGGGCCGCACCAGCCGCCGCCGGGAATGCCGGGACTGCCGCCGCCGCCGCCACCGCACACGGGCTATGCCAACTATGGCGGACCACCGCCACCGCATGGACCGCCGCCCGGTCCGCCCGGTGGACCCGCCCGGCCGCAGTACTACCAGCCGCAGTACGGAGGACATCCCACGCCGCAGCCCTACTACGCGCCCTTCTCGCCGTACCAGCAGTCCTACGGGCCGCCGCCCGGCTCGCATTACATGTCGCCGCGTCCGCCGCCGCCGCAGCCGCAGCAGCATAATGGCAATCCCTATGCGCCCGAGCATGGAGGCAATCCGCCGGCACAGCAGCCACCACCGGGTCCGGGTCAGGGTCACCTGCACGAGCCGAATGGAGGAGGAGCAGGAGCAGGAGCAGGAGGAGGAGGAGGAGCAGCTGCAGCAGCAGTATATCCCACGCCCGGTGCACCAGGACCAGGAGCACCACCACCACCACAGCCACCGTCGGCTGGAGAGGCAGCAGCAGCTGCAGCTGCTGGCGGAGGAGCTGCGGCCGCACCAACGGCGCCTGGCAAGCATCCAGAGGCGGAGAAGCACGAGGCGGACTGAGAATGCAGAAGATCCTAGTTGTAGTCCCTAACTTATACATATATGCATCGATCCCTGTGTTGTAACATAGCTCCACTCCAACCGCCGCCCCCTCTTGGAACTCCGCCCCCTTCAATTTGAATCCCCCTTTAGGCGCCCGCATCTCCACAAAACCCATTATCAATTAAGTTTAACACACCTTTTTTTTCGCAATGCCTAATTTTAATATTTTAACAATTGAGTGTGCGTCGCATTCTGGACTGTATGCTAAATATACGAGTAAAATAAATGTACGTTTATATGTAAATGAAGAGAACTGTTTGATTTTTGAGATAAACGGGAAGTTGGTTGGAACCACTTAAATAATTATAATCAACATATAGCTATTAAAAAATTAATATTCTTTAAATTATGTTTTTTCTTTATAATATTAGGTATTTTATTTTATTTTGTCGCGGCTTTGTAAGTTAAATGGGAAGTTGGTTGGAACCACTTAAAAAATTAATAAAAAAAATAACATTATTTATTTGTATTATTTACTAAAAATAAATATTATTTTATTTTTGTTTGTGGTCAAATAATTTCTTAATATTTACTTGAAAGAACCATTAACCCTTAAACAGAAACGGAACTTAACCCTTAGTGCGTTTCTGCTCCACAAAGCCGCCGTTAGGTGGCGCCACTTGCCGACAGCCTTGAAAAGCAAAACAAAAACCAAAGAGGGGGCAGCTCCAATAGCCACCCACACACATACACATAAAACTTACACAAACACACGTTCAAGACACACACACACACAAACGCACTGAGATTATCACACGTAAACAAAGCGAATGACGTTTGCTTTTGATTTTTGGAGCCAACTGTACCATCACCACCTTTCCCTTCCCCCTTCCACCGCCTATTTCTATCCCGCTTTCGCACAAAATAAAACATTTTGTTGGTGTTGGGTTTTTTGGTTTCTTCTATAGAAAAAACCGTTTATTTTTTTGTTATTTTTTTTTGCTGATGTTTCCAGTTATTTTTGCTGTTGCTGTCACTGTTTTTAGTTGATCTTTGTTTTTCGGGGGATTGTTTCTTGTTTTCATCGGTTCTTGTAAGCTACGATACGATATAGACACATATTTAGCCCGATTTGTTTAAATGTTCAATGTGAAACTAGTTATCGACACCAATTTACAAGTATATGTATATATATGTATATATTTATGGGCGTTTAGAATTGATTATTTTGCATGTGTTTCAACTACATATAAATATTGAGAAATATTCAATGCTGTTTTGTGTTTCGGTTATTATTATTCGATGCTCTTTCAAATCTATAGACGTGTATTATTAATTTGATTGCTGAATCATCTTTATATATCTTTTCCATCTTTTCTGCTCCTCTACTACTTCGTCCGCCTAAACGTATAAAATGCATGTAAATCTAAAATCTTATTTAATCAACTAACTCTGTCACGCCCATCCCTTCGTTAAATGTACATATATATCCAGAAATATATATATATCATGCTCTGTATGCGATTTGCAGTAACGGAAGGTGAACAAAATAAAGAGTATTAATGTCTAGTGTTTTTGTTTTTCTTCTCTATATATATATATATATAGATATAGATTTATATATATATTTATGTATATATGCATATACGTAAGTGTAAAGTTAAGTGTACTCAATTCGGTCTTCGGTGTTATATGCGGATATCATCTTCATCATATGTTAAATGCCCCGTGTCTCCGTGTTGACCGCCCGATGGCCACGCCCTCGCCGCCCCTCCGAAGATCCGGGATTGCCCGCCGCTCGTCCGCAGCCGTCTGTCCGCCTTGCCACGCCCCGCCGGCGTTACGTTGGCCCCGATCTCCAGTTCCGCGGCTCCCGGCAGCCAGATGTTCGACTCCCGGAGGAGCAGGCGCCTTAAGAACCACGGATCTCTCGAAATCGGGGTCTGCCGGCCGGACAGTTGTTGGAGTTGTTGGTGGCGGATGTTGCAGACGGACAGGCGACGACGGCCGCTCGGGGGCATCCCCTTTCCCATAGTATCCAGTGGGTGGACTCGAAATTGGGCGGAAGGCAGCGCGGTACATCGTCAACGAAAATTCAACCGTCGACACGCGGGCGAGAAAAAAAACTTAGCAACTAATATATAATAGTAATAATAAGAATTACAAATATGTGTTTTAGCATTACAGTAATGTTGTGTGTTGTTTTTTGTGGTAGTGTGGTGGTAGTGTTCTTCTTCTTCATCGCATCGACATCGATCTGACGATCCGATTGAACAACAAAAGGATGATAAATGTATACATGTAAATATGAATGATGGATTGGATCAAAGTGTCGTTCTTCTTCAGCTTCTTCTGGCTGCGCTCCCTCAACGAAACCAAGACGTAGCAAATCAGAATGGTCTGTTGTTCGGGAATGGACGACAGCGATCGATCCTTCTGCTCCTGGCCAGCATCCAGCTTAAGCACGCTCGCCTCGGATGCGACGCGCCAACTGGATGTCCTTGGGCATGATGGTGACGCGCTTGGCGTGGATGGCGCACAAGTTGGTGTCCTCGAAGAGACCCACTAGGTACGCCTCAGAAGCTTCCTGCAAGGGGAATTCAAGTTCAATTATAAGTGGAATGTAGAAAGATTCTATAAGTAACTATATTTTAAGTACTACGACACGCAAAAGAATCGTAGATACCTTTATGAATCATCAAAATATGCAGTTTACTTATACACTTTTCTGAATAAATATTATTTTTCTTATTAAATGTTCGACTATAATGTTAAATTTACAGGCAAACTTCAATTTAGCTATAGCTACCTGAATAAATATATTATAAATTTACTTTGAACAGTTATAAACTTAATTATAAATTTATTATAAACAATACCTTTAAATATATTAGGTATTACAAACAATACCTTCAAATATATTAGGTATTATAAACAATACCTTCAAATATATTAGGTATTACAAACAATACCTTCAAATATATTAGGGATTTTAAACAATACCTTCAAATATATTATAGAAAAAATTAAATGAACTGAAGTCTGAAAGGAACCGTACCTGAAGGGCGCCGATGGCCGCCGATTGGAAACGCAAATCGGTCTTGAAATCCTGGGCAATTTCACGAACCAGCCGCTGGAAGGGCAGCTTGCGGATGAGCAGCTCGGTCGACTTCTGGTAGCGACGGATCTCACGAAGAGCGACGGTTCCGGGACGATAACGATGGGGCTTCTTCACACCGCCGGTGGATGGCGCCGATTTGCGGGCTGCCTTGGTGGCCAGCTGCTTACGGGGAGCCTTTCCTCCGGTCGACTTACGAGCGGTCTGCTTAGTACGGGCCATATTAACTTCTTAAACTGCAAGAATAGGGAAATTACTAGATTAGAAGTGTACTTTTCTCTTTTCGTATGTATGCATAGGTATACACTATATATGGGAATCAAACTTGGGATACACACAATGCAGTTTTTCTGCCAAATTCAAATGCAACCTGCAGTTGTTCAGTTTTGGGGAACTTATAGGAACTATATGGCACTTTTGAAATTCGAATGGAGAACTATTTAGGCTATAAATTAGTTTCAGTTTAGTTTTCACTTAGTTTGTAGTTACCCAAAGAACTCGGCGATCCTTTCCAGGTGAGAAATAAAACTCGACTGCCAGGAACTTGCCACGAACTCTGAACTTTTCGGCCGGCACAGGCGCAGTAGTGCAGCAGCAGCAGCCTGCAGGAAGGTGCAGCCAGGATATGGAGGATATGGATATGGATATGGATATGGCGGGGAGCCAAAGTTAGGACCGATGCACAGCGCCGAAGCGCTGGCGGCCAACTGACGACGAACCAAGATTCGCGGTCACAACGAAAACGAGGGTTGAACGTAAAGTACGTTTTGTCGGGACGGGACAGCTGCCTGCTTTTCCCCCATATGAATAATTTTTTTCATCTTCTGGGAACGCAGCACTTGAGAAACTTCCACTTGAGTGGGAAAAGAAAAAATCGTGTCTCGGCGGAACACTGAGAGAAATGTGAGCAATAGAGATGATTTTAGTATCATAGGTACTTATAATCTAATCCCTGAATCTGAAACCTGTGTTATTTATTTATTTATCTTTCTAGCTTTAAAGTTAACAATTTAACTTAAATATAAAGCACTAGTTACAAAACAGAGTTTACAATCTTACAGAAAGTTTTACAAAATTACTTTTACATATTTGCAAGTTTTGATTATTTTATTATTATTTTATTGTATCCATAGTACAATTTTTAATTCGTATTTATAATTAGTTCTTGTATTAAGAAACAAATCATGGATTATGATATTCTCCCTATTCAAGATATCTTTTGAAGACCCACATAAGCAAACCTGAGTTAAACTCAGGAAATACCTTTACAAATATCAAAACTTTGGAAATTCATGATTAGGACTATAATATACAGATTTTTCTCGCTGTGCAACAGTTCCACGGTGGAGGGCCACTTGAAAATCTCATTTCTTTTCTTTGCGAGCAAACAACGTGAGTCGCTGTTTTGTGTTCCCCTTCTTTTTGTGTGCAGGCTCTTGAGTTTTATTTGGCGTTTTATGCGGAATCAATCAAGCTGAAGTAATGAGTTGTAGTTTCCAATTCATTATTACTTCTTGTGCAGGCAAGAGGAAAATAATGAGGCATAATGGAAATCGAAGGAGAGGAATAGAATAGAAAAGTCTTGGAGCGCCAAAAGAGTAAACATAAACAAAATAGCATAGAAAAAAAAGAGGGAAAAGCAAGCGGTAAAACTTGGCGCGCATTAAAAGGCGGCAAGTTGGAGCGAGACGGACGTACATGTACATGTGCACATTCGCATTAGAAAGAGAGGAGAGGAGTGTGCGAACAGTTAATTGCGTCGTTTCTCCGCTAGCCAGCGTGCATGTGTATGCGTGTCTAGATGTGACAGCTGCACATCCTCACAAAAGACAACACCGAAAAAAAAAACAATTATGCAATAATGTGCGGGCAAGAAGGCAGAGCGAAAGAGAGGGGGCATACTGCGCATGACAGGCGCAGACATGCACATTTGCATTTGGTATACACACACACTGGGCACTCGAGACAAATAAATAAATATGTTACTTTTATCTGTTTGCGCCAGCAAAAATACGATTACTCATACTTTTTGGCGCCATTTTTTGGGGGGCCCCTCAATTGTTTGTTGCTTTCGCCAATTTCATTTGCATCTGCAACCCAATTTGTTGCTGCTCTCCTGCGTGGCGGCCATTTTGGAAAAAGCAGCGCACCACAACTACAACAATAATGCAACCGTCGTGCGAATACGACACCTCTCACAACTTCGTGCATTTGTGTGTATCCACCAGCGAAACTGTGCTGAGCATGTGTGCGTGCGTGTGTGCGCGGTGAAAAGTAGGGCTCCGCTGGACGGCCGGCGGAGCCCCAAAAAACAGAGAAATAACAACTTGCATTTGGGGGGCCACCAGAAAAAAAAACAGAGCAGCCGCTCACACACGCACACCTTCACTGCCCACAGGCATGGAAATTGCAGGAGCAACGCTTAAAACTAAACAACTCACTCACCGTTGAACACGACAGAAAATGATTTTCACAAATAATTTTATTTTAACGCGAGAACGAACAATTTCGGACGGGAGAAAATTTCACAATGAGATAGTATGACCAAGGGAGCTATTTACAAATAATACCGTTCGGATTGTCGAAAATACCAGTTTTGATTGTTGGTATATACCAAAGGTATTCCTGGTCACGCTGAAAATATCGTTGTTCGATCCGGTGACTATCGGTCAAAGTCATGATTTAAGATTTTAAAATTAATGAAATATTGAATACAAATTAATACAACTAAGAGTAAGAGATGAAAAAATAGCTGTTTGAAATTTTCATAAAGCTTTTGGAAACGATACTTTCATTAATATCAGATAATAGGTGACTATCGGTCAAAGTCATGAGCGTAGTCCGCTGACGAGGGGGTTTGATTAATTTCATTTTAATTAAGACTTAACAATTAATAAAATTTTGAATAAAAATAAAAACAGAGAGCTTTTGGGAACGATTTATACCGACTAAATATTTTATTCTTAATTATTTTTTGGCGCCTCACAATGTTTTATTATAATTTAATTAATAATGCTGACGAGGGGATCGATAAGAAAATTAAGATTTTAAAATTAATAAAATTTTGAATAAAAATGAAAACAGAGAGCTTTTGGGAACGATTTATCTCAAGTAAATATTTTGTTCTTAATTATGTTTTGGGGCCTCACAATGTTTTATTAAAATTTAATTAACATTTGACAAATGTTCAGATAAATCTTTAAATAAACAGGCAAAAATAAAAAATACTTCAAGGAGGAAGGGATGTTTTTTACCAATCAAAATGAATACGATAAAATTAAATTATCTGAATGAATCCACCAATTGGGGAACTCCTTTATTTTAGTGATTTGTGTGTTACATTTTTGTTACATCTCAACTAAATCGTGTATTGTTTTGACGCTATACAAAGTTTTATTAATCTTAAATTAATCTGAAATTTTTTCAAATAAATCCTTAACTAAACAGTCAAAAATAATGGTTTTTCAAGGAGGAAGGGATGTTTTTTACCAATCAAAACACATAGGAGTAATTAAATTATCTGAATGAATCCCCCAAGTGGGGAACTTCTTTATTTTAGCGATTTGTGTGTTACATTTTTGTTACATCTCAACTAAATCGTGTATTCTTAAATATGTTTTGACGCTTTACAAAGTTTTATTAATCTTAAATTACAATTTTTCAAATAATTCTTAACTAAACAGTCAAAAATAAAAAAAAAGATTTTTTATCCCAATCAAAACACATAGGAGTAATTAAATTATCTGAATGAATCCCCCAAGTGGGGAACTCCTTTATTTTAGTGATTTGTGTGTTACATTTTGGGGTGAATGAACTGCCAGCCAGACTACTGCGACTTCTTGTCCTCCCTGGCGGCCCTGCCCACGACGGGCTCGTCCTTGAAGTGCAGGAACACGAACGAGAAGACGAACACGCCGATCATCATGGAGAAGGCGCTGGTGTAGTAGGGGAAGGCGCTCGGTATGAACCGCTCGTACTGCGTGTGCTCCAGCGGACGCACCGACACCTGGGTGCTGCTGTACAGGTGCGTGTACCCGACGCGATCGTAGTCGACCTTGAACTGATAGACGCCGTAGACGTCGGGTATCTTGAACTTGGCCTGATACTCGCCAGTCTTCGTTTGCTTCAAGTAGGTGCGCACGAAGGGATCGATGCGCACGAACTCCAGCTGAATGTCGCTGGCCTTGAAGGCGCGCCACTCGCCCTGCACCAGCTCCTCGATGCCGATGGTGTAGACGACGGGCTCGGTGATGGTATACGCCTGATCCGGCGGCAGCAGCTCGCCCTCCTTGTGATGCTGCACCGAGGCGACACGCAAACGTCCCGTTTCCCCAAAGACCCACTGACTAATGGACTCGGCCACCGCACGATTGCCGGCCAGCTTGTGGAACACACCGCTCTGGGCGTACTGAACGGCGGTGGTGAAGCTCTCGTCGGAGAAGAAGGTCAGCGAGCCGGAGAAGACGACGCGTGCATTGTTGCGCGCCTGCAGGGCGGCAATCAGCAGGGTGCCGCGGCCCACGGCATGCGGATAATCGGAGACACTGGCCGCCGGATTGTAGCTGTAGGCGCTGCTCTCGGCGGTCAGCAGCTGGAGGACCAGCGGGTTCTCCTTGTCGGCAATCAGCCCAGTGCCGCGATAGATCAGCGGAGCGGCCTCCGCCAGCCGATTGGAACGACCCACAATGGTGTCCGCCTGGATGAGATTCTGGGCGGCTGTCAAGATGGTGGTGTGCTCGCCCGCGTCGCTCAAATCGTAGTGCAGATGGTCAATCACGGCGGCATTCTCCTCGTCCAGCTCGAAGCCGCATTCGGAGGCAAATTCGCGCAGGGCATCGCCGGATTTCTCGCTGCCCGCCACCAGAACATTGCCGCCGTCGTCGACGAACTGCGCCAGCCGCTCCACGCTCACATCGCCGCCGAATTCCTCGACGCTCGGGGCGAAAATGATGACGTTCTTGTACAGATACTCGCCGTATTTCGACAGCAGCAGGCTGGAGTCGTCGGCCAGCTTGTAGGTGAGCTTGAAGCCGCGATCTGGGGGAAATATCAATTATTAACTCATTCTTTCTGCCTTCTATTTTTTGACCACGTCAGAGGTTTGCCGGCATTTGAACTCACCCTGCAGCGACTTGAAGAAGATCGAGTGCGTCTCGCGGATGGCCAGGTTGTCCAGCAGGACCAGGGTGCCGGCGTCCGTTTCCAGGACCGCCTGGCAGTGGGCAGCCGCCAGGAGGGCAATCAGTAGAGTTTTCCACATCATTTTCCTCGCTTCAACTTTTTTCCGGCTTTTTTCGGGGCACAAAAAAAAGACTATCGGTTAGGGTTGCCAGGGTGTGGTGAAGTACCGCAAAAAATACCAAACAAAAAATACCAGAATATATCGCATATCGATGAATCGGCTTAGTAATCGATTTCAGTGATCGGACAGAGTTGCCAGGGTATAATACCTAGATGTATCGCATATCGATTAATCGATTGCTGTTATTGGACAGAGTTGCCAGGGTATGGCAAAGTACAGAAAAATACCACAAAAATACCAAAGAAATACCAAGATCTATCGCTAATCGATTTCCGTTGCCCCACAAATTATAAACAAACCAATTTTGAATTTTTAAAAGGAATCGTTAAAAAGGACACCCCATCGCAATCCAGATGGACATCTTCGAGAGCTTCTGCCGGACGTGCGGCAACGAGTGCCCGGAGTCGGTGGGCATCTACGAGGAGAGCGTGCGGGCGCTGGACAAGATGGTGCCCCTGGCGGAGATGCTGGCCGCCTGTCTGCCCGCCTCCCTGCCGCCGATGGACCCAGGCGACGACTATCCCAAGCAGATCTGCCGGATCTGCGTGAAGAAGCTGTCGCTGGCCTACGAGTTCAGCCACCAGTGGCTGGGCGCCCACGCCGAGTTCAACGTGGCGTTGAAGTTCGAGCAGCGCAGGAAGCGCAGCCTGGCGAGGATTACCCAGTCGCAGGCGCAGTCGCAGTCCCAGTTGCAGCAATCCCAGCCGCAGGACGAGGAGCAGCTGCCCACCGAGGCACCGGCAACGGATGTGGAGCCCCTGAAAGGTGATATTCGAGTATAGATCCCATCTTTTCGAGTTCCTAATGCTTCTACCGTCTTCAATCCTCCCCAGCAGCTGCTCCTGCGAGCGTCGCCACCACCACGAGCAGCAGCGAAACCAGGCTGGGCTTCAGGTGCGGCATCTGCAACGAGAGCTTCCACACGGAGAAGGCCTGCAAGTTCCACTTCAAGTTCTCGCACAAGGATCTTTAGTCCGTCTCGCCCACTAGCTCTCAGTTTTGTATAAATGTTTAAGTACGTTATTTGTAATAGTTTGTAATGATACGCCCTAGCATGAGATGTAAATCACGATATCATATGCAGAACTTATATATTAATTATTAGTATTGTAACCGCGTTTCTCTTTGTACAATAAGATATCGGCTGAAATCAATCATTAGATCGAATTCCTCCAAGAATAACCATATTTCTCTTTGTACATTGCGATATTATATACAGAATTTAAAGGAAACCTATCATTAGATCGAGTTCCTTTAAGAACAACCATATTTCTCCTTGTACATTGCGATATTAAAAACAGAATTAAAAGGAAACCCATCATTAGATCGAGTTACTTTAAGAAGAACCATATTTCTCCTTGTACATTACGATATTATATGCAGAATTTAAGGGAAACCCGGTATTTAGACTGCATTTCGCTTTGCACAATTAGTTATTAGCTGAAATCAATCACGATATCGAGTTCCTTTAAGAACAAACATATTTTTCTTTGTACATTACGATGTTATATACGGAATTTAAAGGAAACCCAGTATTGTAACCGCGTTTCCCTTTGTACAGTAAGATATCGCTTGAAATCAATCAAGAGATCGAGTTCCTTTAAGAACAAACATATTTCTCTTTGTACATTGCGATATTATATACAGAATTTAAGAGAAACCCAGTATTAAGACTGCAATTCTCTTTGTACAATAGGATATTGGTTGAAATCAATCATTAGATCAAGTTCCTTTAAGAACAACCATATTTTTCCACATTACGATATTATATACAGAATTTAACGGAAAAAAAGGTGAAATTTAAGGCTCGATGCCAGGATCCCCCATTGGTGAACCACTGAACACGGTCTTCCGTACATTTTATCGTTTGTTTTACTTAGCTATGGCGTAAACAAATAAATCAAAGATGAGAGTCCATAGTAGTCCCCTAGTCATCCTCCTCGGTGCGGACTTTCTGGGCGCGCGGATCGTCGTGGCGGAAGACGACGTAGCCGAGCTTGTACTTCCGGTTGTCCCCGTCGTTGGCGTAGTAGTTGGCCACCCCGATGGTGGCCATCACGATCCCGGCGAGGGCCAAGGCGGATCCGCCGACGATGTCCGGAATCTCGTTCCAGGCGCGCTTCAGCAGCGACGTGGAGCCTCGGGCAGCGGATGCGGACATCTTGGTGTTCTGGCGGATCGGTATGGTGGTTAGATTCGTGCCTTAATTGACTAGCCAGAGCATATTTACCAAAAATGAAACTCAGTTACACAACACAAACGGGCGACCAAACAGCTGGCAACTATCGTCTATCGCCAATCGATTGTTGCTGTAGCTGGGGGTGGCCGAATTTCGATTACCTGAGTATCGTAAATGGGCTTTTTGGGGGATTTATATTCCAAAATAGATGATATATAATAGAACCACAACTAGATGTATAAAAATATATACATTTTTTTATTTTCTGATTTTAATATTTCATTATTTTCAAATTATAGTTTGATACATTTCAAAAATGACTTTTTAAAATTTTTATTTACTTATCCAGAATAAGAAAAAAACCCCGATTTTATTTGGAACCCCAACTAGATATAAAAAAAAGTACAAATTTTTCTATTTTTTTATTTAAATATTTCATTATTTTGAAATATAGTTGGATACATTGAATTGATGACCCTTTTTTAAACTTTATTTACTGATCCAGAATGAAAAAGAAAACCCTATTTAATTTGGAATTGGATATTAAGAAACGTAAACTGTAAAAAATTATGCATTTTTTTATTTTTTGATTTTATTATTTTGAAATTATAGTTAAATACATTTTAAAAATGACTTTTTTTAATCTTTATTTAAACACTGATCTAGAATAAGGAACATCGATGGTGATTTCCTAAGGGGCTGTCCATATATTACGTAATCACGTTTTTGGTGATTTTTGACCCCCTCCCCCCCCTGGTGATCAAACGTAATCATTCAATAAACAACCCCCCCCCAATGATTACGTAATCCCCAGAATAAAATTTTGTTTGTTTTAATCTGTGGATTCAAACGGAGATGCAACCCAATCTTTAATATTGTTTATAAATGAAGTTTGGTATGACACATTCGGTTCGTCTACGCTGATATTATCCCCAACATACTCTTCGTCAAGCCATTCCAGGTCTTCGTGTGATTGAACCACTAAACATTCTTTTATTCGCCGCCCAGCCACTACAAAAATTGTTTCTCTGCTTTCCTATTTAAGTTTGTAGCAGGGACCGTAACTGTTATAAGTTTTATTTTAAAAATCACACTTTAACAGTTATTTTCTGATTTGCAAAGTAAAACTCAAGGAATAACTGTTATTTTTTGAGTTTTATAATAAAAGTTGGCAAATAACAGTTATTCGTCGTGATCAAAAATAAAACTCAAACTTGATTTATGGCGATTTTGTGGGTAAAATAAATTAAAAAAAAATATAGGTATAAAATATGCACGGTTGCCTTTTTTAACAAATTTTTAGTAAGTTATATAAAACACGGGAATCATGTTTTTTTTTAATTATTTCATTTTTTCAAAAATGTCAAGGGAATAACTGTTATTCATAAAAATAAAAAAATAACAGTTATTTTTTGAGTTTTATTATAAAAATCAAAAAATAAAAATCATTACGGATTTGTAAACTACAATGCGTGATTTTTTTGTATGAAAAATTTACAATAACACTTATTTTTGGTCCCTGGTTTGTAGATATAATTAAAGGAAAAAAGTTTTTAAATAAATTCTTTAAATAAAAAAATTAATATAAAATGATTACGTAATCATTGTACAAGACCCCCCCTCCCCATGTAATCAAACATAATCATTTCAATGACCCCCTCCCCCCTAGGTGATTACGTAATATATGGACAGCCCCTAATGATTTCCTATGGAACCCCAGCTAGATATAAAAAAATTACACAATTTTCTATTTTTTGATTTTAATATTTCATTACTTTAAAATAATAGTCGGATACATTTTAAAAATGATTTATTTAAATCTTTATTTACTGATCCAGAATAAGAAAGAAAGCCCTATTTGATTTGAAACTATAAATTAAGAAACGTAAACTGTAAGCCCCAACTAGATGTAAAAAATGTTATTTTTTGATTTTCATATTTTAGTTGGATACATTTAAGTGATGCCCCTTTTGTAAATCTTTATTTACTGATCCAGAGTAAGAAAACCCCGCTTTAATTTGTAACTGGAAACTAAGAAACGTAAGCTGTAAATGCAGAAATCGCACCATCAGGACGATCATCACGCGTCCTGCTCGTAGCCCTCGGTCTTCATGTCGTTGAGGCCCAGATCCTCGTTGTCCTCGAAGGAGCGATCGTAGCGCTCCACCGTGAGCTTGTCGTCCGGCTCGGCGGCATCGTCATCGTCGCTCAGGGATTGCACATACGTGTTGCCGGCGGGATCCTCCAGCACAAGCGTAATGACCTGCTTCAGGTTCATCACATCGTCGAAGGTGTCGAGGAATCGCTGCATCTGCTGCTTGGTGGCCGCATCCGCCGAGTCGTGGAAGAGCGTGCCGTCCAGCTGATCCCGCATCGCGACGAGCAGTCCCTCGACGGTGGTGAAGCGTCCGCAGAGGGCGTGCGGACCCACCTCCAAGTCCAGCTCCGGTATGGACAGGCTGCATGTCTCGGACTTCAACACATCCCGCGTCAAATCTTCCTTGCTGGCGATCTGCACGCGAAAGCGAATGCCCTGCGCCTCCACTCCTCCACCCGACTTCACCTCGTTCGTCTTGTGGCCACAGGCCGAGCAGACGGTGGCCATGATGACCACCTCCTTGAAGTGCGGTATGTTCGTAAGCTTCATGTTCGTCTCGCAGGGCGCCTGGCAGTTGGGACAGTTGGTGGGGAACTGCAGCACCTCGCCGTGCAGACTCTCGATGGGCCACGCGTCCTCGGCGATGGGCTTCAGCAGGTGCTGCTCCTCGTGGTTCTGCTCGTACAGGCCTGGAAATGGATCGAATTAGCATTGCAGGGATAACTAGGAGATTTGCGCCCACCCAATAGCTCGTTTTGCTCGCGGGTGCGCTTAAAGTGCGACGTCTTGAGCTGCGGATCGGCAGCGGGCGCCAAGGGATTCTCGACGAAGCTGTTGCCCGAGATGTCCTCGAGGAGCAGGCGAAAGGGCGTGGCCAGCGCCTTCAGGCGATGCAGTCGCTCGATATACTCATCGATGGAGGCACCCGCGGCCGGATGATCAATGCGCCTTTTCTCCTGATCCTGCGACAAACCGGCTATCGTTCGCTCAATGATGCCCTCGACGGTGGTCACCTCGCCCTTCTGCGACTGCACCGGTATCTCCAGCTCCACCTCGGGTATGCGAACGCTGGAGTTATCCGAACGCACCACGCGCCGATTGAGATCGCCGGGTGTGCGCACCTGCAGCTCGATGCGAATGCCCGACTTCTGGATCTCCGAGGCCGACTGCATCTCGTTGTTGATGTGGCCGCAGTGGTCGCACTTGAAGGACATGAGCACGACCTCCCGGAAGAAGGGTATCTTGGTGGGCAGCAGCCGGGTGACGCCCGTTTGGAAGCAGCTCATGCAGGCGGACTCGATCTCGACCACCTCGTCCGCTTGGTCAGCGTTGATCTCCCGGAAGATGGGCTCCGGCCGGATGGATTGGGCCGCCTCCTCATCCGGCGGACTGGACTGGCTCAGGGTGGACATGGAATATCACTCGTTTTCTCTGTCTATTTACTGAAATTAAATTGAACTTGATCTGAAAACGTGAGTTGTGTTGAGTTGGAGAATCATCGATAGCAGCGATAGCATCGATAGCCATCGACGATGCCCCATCCCTGGGCATCGGTGGTGATGGTGGTGTGACCAGGCTACTAGACTTTAAGCTTAAACAATTGGCGGCCTGTCGTTCTGGGATTTCCTAGGAATTTCCTGGAAAACCATAGCATTTTCCAAACTAGAGAACTTACCTAAGAAGATCACCTGGCACCGTCATAAAAGGCATCTGTAGGTTAATCCGGGAAAACAAAACATCTTGTTACCTGACAACCCCTAATTAGCAGTACCTACCTATAAGAAAATATATATAAACCCCGAAGGAAACTCCTCCTATTCAGTGCGAAAGCGACCTTTGATTGCTTCAGTTTGTTATTTGTATTACCATATCAAAAATGATCTCTTCGAGCATTGATCAACTGCTGGCCGATCAACTGGAATTGGGCGAACGCATTCAGAGCATCATTCGAAACTATAAAAAGGATTCCAGGAAGCGAAAATCGAAGCCTGGCTACTTTAAGGATCGCCTAACTAAACTGGAACTTCTGTGGGACACTTTTTTCACAGCAGCAAATCAAATTCAAACGGCCATTCAGGGGATGCCAGTTGAACATAAATATTTTGAGAACAACGTCTTTATGGAAACAGAGAACTCGATCATCGAATGGAAAGCAGAATTCAACAAAAACCCGAATGTATTAGAAAACGACACCACTCCCGGTTCACCAATAAAAGGAGATAATAAACTGGAAAGTATTCCAAGAGATCAAAAAGTGTTGCTGGACAGAATGGATATTCTAATGAATCAAATTATTGCCGACTCAAAGCGAGGTGTAAAACGCGTCACCCTACCATATTGGAGTGAGATGAAAAATATGCACGAGCAAATCTGTAAGAACTACAACTAACTACAAAAACTGATATTACTATTATGTTATGTATATTTATTAAGTAAAATATATAATTAAATAATGTATTAAAAATACGGAAACAAAAACCTTTCTTTGAAATTCATGAAATGCCACAGTGGCGCCATCTGGATGACCGAAGTATAGGGAGGGTGTCTTGGCTAACTTAGCGAATACACCCTCCCGATAGCTTGACAATAGGGATGGGCAAGCCCCGATACCCACAAATCGAATTGGCCGAAAGCATCGGCGCAGAAACATCGGGGAATCGCCATCACCACTGCATACAAAAGTTCGACGGGAGCAAAAGTAATTATTAATTTAATCGGAAGCCAATTCGACTCCAATTGGCGGTCTTCTGGTTGTTTTACATGCCCCGAAAGTGTTGGATTCACTGTTTCAGTGAATAGCGGCAGCAAGTACGAGCAACTGTAACTGTATCGACTGCGTGTGTGTGTGTATAGTCGAGCGTGTGCGTGTGAGTGTGTGTGTATAGTCGAGCAAATATAAAATCGTAACGTAACGAGCCGAAAGGAGAGGAGAAAAACGTGTGAAATCGAGGCATACACTCGGAAAAAGGTACCGCCAGTGGCAAACAGCAGTTGGCGAAACAAATTGCTGCTAAAATCCTGCCCAAGCCGCACAGACAGCGAGTGTTCAGGCATTTCAAGGACCTTTTTCGCCTCCTGTCTGCCGTTGAGTGTGTGTGCGGGCGTGCGTCTCTGCGTGTGTGTGTGAGTGTGTCTTTTGACCACCTGGGCGGTAGTCAAGTGGAAATTTTGCGTTCAAGGACAACGCCAGTGGCGGCCGCCCCCCTTCATTTCACAACCCCCTTTTCGAAGTGTCCGGCCCCCAAACGCCCCCATCTGCAATTCAGAGCCGACAGAGTCAGCCTAGAACAGTGTTTATTCCCGAATTTAGAAGGGAATTAAGTTTTCATTTCACATGTGTTTTTTTTTCTTCTTTTTTGCTCTGTTTGTGTGTGTGGGGTGCCGTTTTTCGTACTCGTATTCTTATTTTTTTTTGCCGCTTTTGAGCGAGCTTGCGCACACCAATACAAACACAAATGAGAATTTTTCCTCGTAATTTTACGCTCCCTCTCTCTCTCGCAGCCCAGGCAGCGCTGCAGCAAACTCGAAAATAACTGTTAGCGAGCAAGCGAGAGAGCGGCACACATTTAAAGTGAAATAAATCAAAAAGTACGTGGAAACGGACAGGAAAATATCAGCTGCGGACCAGATTCGTCAAAGTCGATAGGGGGCCACAAAATAATAATAATAATCCAGGTCCAATAAAGAAAACCACAACGAGCTGAAGACAACAAAAAAAAAAGCCCCGCTGTTCTAAATTCCGTTTACCACGTGTGTTCGCGGTGCGCGTGTGGTTGTGTGCAGCTGATTTGCCATGTGGGTGTGCGCGTGTGTGTGTGTGTGTGTATGGGGGGGGCACGAAACTAAACTAGATTTAAATCTGCCGCACACTTCCGCTGAATGGCATTTACTCGAACGTATTTATTTAGGCAATTGCCTTGCCCCAATTGAATTAGTTGCTCAAGGACTCGGGGCCCCTCTGTCCGCTGTCCTTGCTGGGGCAGCTTTTTTACGCAGCTAGCGGGAAAGTAGCTAGAAAGCTCAGCACTATGGACGCGCCTGCGTGAATGGGGGAGAAAAAAGGAAGAAGAAGGAGCAAAGAGGAGCTCAGTTTGCGTATGTGTGTGTGTGAGGCGCATAGCTACACATAACGGAGAAAAACGTAACGTAAACTTGACGCAAACGGGAATCGGAATCGGATTCTCCCCCCTCCCCCCCGCCTCTTTTAATGGGTTACTATAAATATTAATTGGAAAACGGGCGATCAGATAAACAACTACCAATACACATTCAATCAATGTTCGGCTAAACAACATATGTACATAGATAACAACATTAAAATTACCAACAATTTTAGACTCACTAAATAATTTTGAGATTTGCTTTAAAACGAACCGGCTATATTAAATAAAACTGAATTTAATTGGGAAAAAATCTAATTTCAATACGATTGCCGGTCTAATTGGAATCCAGTTGGATTGCTCTCATTGGCCAACTGGAGATTTCCTCGAGTTTTAGATTTATTTTGAGATACTTTTACTTCTAACTATACTGGAACTATTCTGGAATTGGAACATCCGAAAGATAGCTGTCAAGTTTAAAGATAAAACCTTGAAAACGTTTGGGATTTCAGCTTTTAAAGCTTGCTTTAAATTTAACATCCAGACGATATTGATTTATTTTAAGAAGTAGTACTTGATACTTGGTGCAGTAGGAAATCTCTACTCCGCCTTTAAAAACCATTAGCATTTCTGAAGTAGTGCTTTCCAATTTACTTATGAATATCCTACCTTTTTGGTTGGTATTTAACTGATCTGCATAATTGGGGGTAAGCAATTTTCACTAGCTTACTACAGATGCTATTAACTACAAAACTTCAAAACAATAGACACTAACTAAATTGTTGACAGTAGTGACTTCTCTCTAAGAGCCTACTTGATCTTAAATGTGTGGCTGTGTTTGCAACGATTTTTAATGATCTTAAAATAAACAGCAAACCATGATAAATTAACTGAAAAATTAAAGAAATTGAACTTTTTGAAATCTATCTAGGCTTTTGTTCAATTATAGTTCAATAATATTATCCTAACATATCTTTCATGGTTTTGCAACTATTTTTTTCAAAAAACATTGTATACACAATGTATTAATCATAGTATATTTTAATTTTAATCCTTGCAAAGGCTTTTAGGATTTCAATATGCTTTTTATTCGTTAAAATTGAAACATTTAAAATCACCATCGCGTAGCAATTTTCCGGAAAATTTCAGAAGCTACAGAAATGGCATTTCCTTAATCCGCAAAGTATGCAGCAAAGTGTGCAAGTGTGTGTGTCTGCTGTTGCATAAGCCAGAGGCGTTGTCGAAAGGGGTTGCATTTTGCATTGGGGGGCGGAAAAGGGGCGGGGAAGGCAAAAAGGGGCTGGGGCGTGGCGAAATCCGGGCGGAAAAACACTTCCTCATTTGATTTAGTGCCAAGTCGATTTATTCTTCACTCTCTTTTCTCAGTTTGTCAGTTACGTTCAAACAGTTTTTGTTCGTTCTGCGTTCCAGAATTAGTTGTATTTTTTTGTTTATTTACTTTTTCCCCGTTTCTTTTTGTGTTCTTTTTGCCTTCTTACGGTTTCGTTCTTTTGTGCAAAATTGTGTAATTTTCTAATAACCAAGGATCAACGATTTCTACTTTCTTTTGCAAATCCCAAAGGAACGGCGCTGTCGTCCAATTTACGTCGCCGTCTTCTTCGTCAGTGTTTGTTGTCGTCGCCTCGTTCGTCCTTAATATTATTTCGTCCTCGTACAACAAGAACAAGAAGAAGAAGAAGAACAACCACAACCAGGATCACCGCAATACGCAGTTTCCCAATGCTTTAAAACGATTCGGCAACCTCTAAGGAACAAAAAGAATATATACATCAAATATATATTATATATATAAAAAAGACAAGCAGCGAATCAAGAACCGAAAACACCAAATAAACAAAGATATAAAGATAAAGATATAAACCCAAAGTCAAAGGAGGCTCGCAAAATTTTTTACAAATTTGCAATACATTTTACATGAGAAGAAAAGAGAAGGGAAGAGGAGGAGAAATTGCAATAGGTGTGTGTTTGTGTGAGTTCGTCGTCGTCTCAGGATAATTTTTTCCCCCGGAGAGGCGAACTGTTGTTGCAATTGGAATTCGCGGCGAGAGGAGAGATCTCTATTGGAATGGCTCTCTTGGGAGAGCGGCAGGACATTAGGGAGCATCAGCAGCAGCAGGATCAGCAGTAAATAGGAGCCAGCTCAAAGGAATCAACAGGGGAGGATCAGGAATTAGGAAGCAGGATAAAGGAAGCGGGATAAAGAAGCGGGATAAAGGAAACAGGATATAGGAAACCGGAAACATAGCCCAGGCAAAAACAGGAATCATTTAAATCAGGAAGACAAGGACCTAAGAAACCAGGAAAGCGCCAAAAGAAAGGTGAGTTTACGATAGAAAATCATATATATAATAATAAATAATATAGGTATAATAATAAATAATATATATAATAATATATAATATATATAATAATAAATAATATATATATTTATAAATAATATATATAATAATAAATAATTCGATGTGCTTATAATCAAATATTTATGGGATTTCCCTTATAAGATTTTTTCTAAACCAATATAATATCCATTTTAGTCATCAGTTCATTAAATACTATTATTATGACCAATTAATAATAATATTAAAATCTATAGTCATTTTCCTAATTATTTAACAAGAATATTATCCAAGCGTCTCGTAATAAACGAAATATATTTTTCCCAGGACCATGACTACTTTGGAGGAGCCTGTCCTGGCGGTGGACACGGTGGATCCGTGTCCCCCGGGGCCTCCCAGCCTGAAGACCGTTCTCAGCGACGATGCCTCGAACTCATCGGTGCTGGAGGAGATCGACGTGAGCAATACGAGCAGCAGCAGCAGCTCCAGCTCCAGCAGCTCCAGTTCGAGCTCTGGATCCTGCTCGGGCTTGGGATCGGGATCGGGCACGGATACGGACACCGGCAAGGGCAGCAGCACTGTCGGCAGCCTCGATGTGACCAGCTCCTCGAGCATCGGATCGGCGGCATCCATCTCATCGACGGGCTCCACCGCCATCGCCGGACCCTCGGGCTTGCTAGACGATTCCAACTCATCGGGACTGGGAATCGGTATGGGAATCGGTATGGGTATGGACATGGGCATGGGCATGGGCATGGGACTGGTGGTGGATGTGGACAGTGCCGGGAGCAGCCAGGAGCTGAGCAGCCACGGCGTCACCGAGCTGGACTCGCTGGAGGACTCGTGCAACGGCCTAATGATCAAGGATGGGGATAAGCTATGCAAGCTGTGCAGGTGAGTTGATGGATAACTGATCAATTTCATTGGCTTTTTCATTATCTCCTTATTTTCCCACACCACAGCTCGCGCCTCGTGATGCCGCGCATCCTGTCCTGCCTGCACGTCTTCTGCGAGGACTGCCTGCAGGCTGTCGTATCGAAGGACTCGATGGCGGCCAGCTCGCCGAACAGCTGCTCGTCGTCCTCGTTCGACGGCAGCGAGAATCAGCACCGCACTCTGCCCGCACTGCTGCTCGAGTGCCCCGTTTGCAAGCAGGAGACTCCCTTGGGGCCCAAGGGGGTCAAGGGTCTGACCTGCGACTATATTGTGACCAACATACTGGATCTCTCCAATCTGGAGTCGGAGCACATTGTGTGCACGTCGTGCAAGAGCAAAGAGGAGGCCATTTCGCGTTGCAACGATTGCGCCAACTTCCTGTGCAACGGATGCGACAATGCCCACAAGTATATGCGCTGCTTCGAGAACCACCATGTGGTGCGGATCGAGGATCTGACGAAAAACGTCCACGACAAGCTGATCATCCACAAGCCCGTGTGCTGCCGCCAGCATGTGAGCGAGAATCTCAAGTACTACTGCTTCACCTGCCAGGTGCCCGCCTGCAACGATTGCCTGCTGAGCGATCACAAGGGCAGCGATCATCACTACGAGACGGCCACGGTGGCCGAGCAGGCGGTTCGCGCCGATCTCGAGCAGACGTTGAGCGAGGCCCTCAAGAAGGCCGACTACTGCAACGATGCGGGCGGCAATTTGGGCAGCGCCCTCACGGAGCTTCAATCGCAGCACGATACGGTGCGCCAGCAAATCGAAGATGCCTACAAGAGCTACAAGCGCATGCTCGAATCGATCAAGGAGCAGATGCTCAACGAGCTGGGGCGCCTGCACTCGGATCGCGAGCTCAAGATCATGGATCTGATGCAGAGCATGGAGAATAATATGGGCAAGCTGCAGCAGGCGGCGCAATTCGGCCAGCGTGCCATCGACAAGGCCAATGCCGTCGAGTTCCTGCTGCTCAAGCCGGTGATCAATGCCCAGTGCTTGAATCTCATGGAGCAGACGCCCAAGTGCGATGTCAACTATCAGCTGCAGTTTGACTCGAAGCCGGAGAAGTTTGAGCAATTCGCCAGGGAGATGTTTGGCAAGTTCCAAACGGATCAGAGTGACTCTAGTCCCAAGAAGCAAGCGATGGCCCAGCAGCAGCAACAGCAGCAGCAACAGCAGCAGCAGCAGCAACAGCAGCAGCAGCAACAGCAGCAGCAGCATCGTCAAGTGCAGCAGCAGCAGCAGCAACAGGTGCAGCACCAACAATTGCAGTTGCAGCAACAGCAACACAGCTCTAACAATCTGATTGTGGGCCATCGGGGCAGCTCCTCTGTCCAAGGACGCCTGAGCTCGGCTGTATTCAGCCCCATCTCGCTGCCCTCCTCGCTGCAGAGTTCCTTCGATGGCGACACCAACTCGGTGATAACCAACTTCTCCATGATGGACTCGCCGCCGCAGACATCTTCGCAGCAGCAATTGCCAACTGCCCAGCAGCAGCAGCAGCAACAGCAGTCGCAACAGCAGCAACAGGCGGTCGTGCTGCAGCAACAGAAGCACCAGCAACACCAACAACAGCAGCAGCAGCAGCAACAGGTGCTGCACCAGCAGCCATCAGCACAATCCATGCCCCCGCAGATGGGACAGCTCGTTGCTCCGCAGGGACAGCTCGTCCAGCAGGCTGTCAATCATGTCAATCTCAACTCTGGCCCCGGTCCGAATATATCCATAAACGGTTTGGGCGCCGGCGGACCGCCGCCCAGTTTCAGCATGCTGGAGTACAATATCTCGCGACTTGCCAGCCTGACGGAACCCATGCCGGACAGCCTCAACGATGCTTTGGCCGTGGGGGGAGGTGCCGCTGGACCTGTGCCGAATGTGGCCCAAGTGCCGGGTGGCTCGGCCGTCGCCGGCGGAGGAGGAGCTGTTGTGGGAGCCCCGCACTCGCATCAGCAGCAGCAGCAGCAACAGCAGCAGCAGCAGGCCGTAATGCCGGCATCGGCGGTAACGCCCACGCAGCCAATCACCCTGGCGGACATCCTTTCGGGCGACCAGCGGGCGCTCAACAATCTACAGGCGCTGGCCAAGCTGGGACTCAACAACAATGGTGAGTGGCGGCGATTGGTTTTCGATGCTTTTACATTTCTCTTTTTTTTGGTTTCCTTACACTTTTGAGTTATTTTTTCTTTTTTGCTTCCTGCACAAAATGCAAACACACACCACCGAAACTAAAAAACACCACCCACAACACCTGAAATCCCCCAAACAACCAACCAACCAACCACACAGATGATGATCTTTTGTTGAACGGATCCTCAACGGGCATTGATTTTTTGTCAGATTTCTGCATGCCACCGGCCACATCGCCCAGCCTGCAGTCCCTCAATCCGATCGTGGGTGGCGTGGAGGACATGGGACTAAATAACTTCCATGCCGTCGCCGCTCCCGGCACCACCAGCGTGGTCACTGGCCGCAACAAGGCCACTCCGATGCAGATCCGCTGCAAGTTTGGTTCTTTGGGCACGGCCAAGGGTCAGTTCAATTCACCCCACGGTTTTTGCCTGGGCGTCGACGAGGAGATCATCGTGGCGGACACGAACAACCATCGCATCGAGGTCTTCGACAAAATGGGCGCCCTCAAGTTCCAGTTCGGAGTGGCGGGCAAGGAGGAGGGCCAGCTCTGGTATCCGCGCAAGGTGGCCGTCATGCATAATAATGGCAAATTCGTGGTCTGCGATCGCGGAAACGAGCGCTCCCGTATGCAGATATTCTCCAAGTGCGGTCACTTCATGCGCAAGATTGCCATCAGGTGAATATAAAGATAATACTTAACCAAAAAATGATCCTAAATTAAGAAAAGCTAACAAGCTAATAATTATTTATATATATAGCGTTGCAAGTTTTAAAATATCACTGTTTTTGCCGTAACAATGGAAATAATAATCCAAATATGCAATGTAACACCTCGCGGAACTCGTAATTAAATTTCCAATCGATTGGTATTCAAACCTAGAAATTTTTAATTTTTTCCATTTTTTGCAAAAAATTGTGATGCAACCCCTTAAAAAAAATGAGAAAATTGATCAAAAAATAAATTTTCAAGAAAATGATGGGGATCGTTAGTTTATGTCGTTAGCTGCTCGGAACAGTCGGTCTGTTAGCTTTCGGCCTTAAATTGTCCAAGCTACGACTAAAAAACCATAAAAAAATTACTATTTTTGTCGAAAATTCGAATACACATTTGTTTCATCCTAAAATATCAGTTTTTTGGTCGTTACAATGGAAATATTAATTTCTCTTGTCTTGTTTTTACTTTTGGTAAAATATGAAAAAAATATCTCTTAAATCGTTTATAAAAGTCCTACAAAATATGACAAAGTAGGCCAGGTGATAGACGAATAGAGGAATGTGACACTGACGTTCGCATAAAACCTCAGTTGTAAAAATAATATCGGCAAACAACGAAATAACCGAGAATTTATTTGTAATCTATTGACTAATTCGGATTAATTGCCTTCGCAGATACATTGACATCGTAGCGGGCTTGGCTGTTACGGCTAAGGGTCATATCGTGGCCGTGGATAGCGTGTCGCCCACAGTGTTTGTGATCTCCGAGGAGGGCGAATTGGTCCGCTGGTTCGACTGCAGCGACTACATGCGCGAGCCCTCCGACATCGCTATACGAGGTAAATATTTGAGATGATATATACATATTTGACTTCTTAACACAATACCACTGTTTCTGATTTCTCTTTTCTCTTTCTGCCCGACAGACAACGATTTTTACGTGTGCGATTTCAAGGGCCATTGTGTGGCCGTTTTCCAGGACGACGGCACATTCCTCTATCGCATTGGCAACGAGAAGGTCACCTGCTTCCCCAATGGCATTGATATATCGAATGCCGGGGACGTGCTCATCGGCGACTCGCACGGCAACCGCTTCCACGTCGCCTGCTACTCACGTGAGGGCGCCCTCCAGTCCGAGTTCGAGTGTCCCCACGTCAAGGTGAGTGATTAAGTGGCCATACAATTATTTAACCAGAGAAAAATAGGTAAATTTGGAATTTGCTTGGTGTTTTATTGTCCTGTCCCCCTCATCGATGAGCTAAGCTAACATTGATCCATTCGCAGGTTTCCCGCTGCTGCGGCCTGAAAATCACATCCGAGGGCTATGTGGTGACGCTGGCCAAGAACAATCATCATGTTCTAGTCCTGAACACCCTCTATGTTCACTGATTGCAAATCAAAGCGCGCAACAATCGTCCATCAGTCGATATGAACAAATACAACTACAAATACTCGTCGGGCAAGATATACGGATGCCGACGTCAGCAGCAAGCAACCAACATCGGCAACAGCAACAGCAACAGTAATAGCAACATCAACCTATTGGCAAGGACTCAGCCTCAACTATGCAACAGCAACATGAGCAACATGAGCAACATTAGCCTCATTTGCAACGGCAGCAACATCAATCAACAGCCGTCGTCGACGACAACACCATCAGTCATTTAATAGAAGAGTTAAGCAAGAATTAGCAGTGTGTTGCTAAGCAAGAAAAGCAAGCAAAACAAGCTGAAGCAACAACATTATGAACAGCAATTGCAATAATCCAGACATATATATAGGACAAAGTATATATATGTGGAAAAAGGGGGAAAGCAAAATCTCGAAACACCAAAAATCCTTTTAAATCACAACAAGAAACGTTGCCGTTTCATGAGCCACAGCAACTGTATAAAACAAAAAACGAAAAACAAAAAACCAATAACAAAATGATAAACAAAATGCAACAAATACTATTTTTGATCTCTAATTTAAAAACAATTAGCGCTACTACTAAAAAACAAACATCAACAAATCTAACAAAAAGAAAAACAAAAATATTTTACCTAGTATAACGAGTAACAAACAACAAGCAAGAAGAAAAAACAACAAACAAAGCAAACAAAGAAAACCAAAACAAAAACTAAAACTTGGGATATTTTAAAAATGTTTTTTAAAAACTCTTTTTAAATTGTTTTTTAATTATGCTTTTTTCATTGAATTTATGTTCTTGTTAAAAATTGTCATAAAAACACACACTCACACATACACGTACACACGCCACACTCACACAAACTCTACTACTTTACATGTTACTTATTATCTATATAGACATATATATTGTTATATCGACCGATTAGCTTTTTTGTGCATACCCTTCCAGAATCTTTTTCTAAAAAACAAAAAAAAAACGAAACACGCATATATATATCTACACCTAGTATACAACATCTATGTATATCTAGCAAAATGTGCAACTTTTGTGCACAGGTTTTTTGCTAACAATTATGGAAGTAAATAATTTGTTGAGGGCGTCATCAGAGGTCGCGTACAGGCAATAATTATAGAAGAAGATGAAATCTAAGTAGTTTATTTTGATTTCAAACTGAAACCAAACACTAAGATAAAAGTTCAGAAAATAAAAAACTGTTTAGGTTTTTCCTTACGCTGCTTATATAAGGTGATATCTATTTATATATAAATCTATATGAATATATAAAAAAAACAAAACAAAACAAAAACTATATATATCTTAAACATATATGTGAAATCCTATGACTATATGACTTTGCCATATAATATACAAAGCAGGACGAGAGAGTAGGGAGTTAGGCATAGGGATAGCGAGGGACGGAGGACGAAGGACGAAGGGACGAAAGGACGAAAGGAGGCAACACACACTACACCACACGGCCACACGGCAGATATGTGTCCGCGAATATCCAGAGACGACCGACCCAGAGAATACATTCGATATGTATCAACTAATTGCGTTCTTCACGCCAGAAATCCAACAAGAACTACAGACAACAAACTCAACATACAAATTAATCTGTAAGCTAACAAACCAAACAAAACGAATGCAAATCGCATTAGGCCAACAACTATATAACTAAAACAGCAGAGACAACAACAAAAAGCGTTAAAAAACCTACAAACGTATCTGTTAAGTTCTTATATACATTGTTAAAAAAAAAACCAACAAACAAACAAAAAACAAATATTCCTTTTGCTTATATACAAAACAAATGCAATACACGTGCATGTAATCGACATACACACACCACAAACACAACACCCACACCACTCACGATTTATATAGACGATATAGACAACCATTTAAGATGATATATGTACGGATACGTGCAACATTTCTTTCCCGTTGTAATACAATATAAGGCTGGTTTACTCCCAAGACATTATTATTTATCTATATACAAAATAACATTTTTTAATTGTGTGAATTTTATCATGTGAGAATCGAGAAGCGAGAAACGATAGGTAGAACAACATGTAACGTTTTATTTAGATGAAGTTGGGCGAGAAAGCAAAGCGAAGCAAGCAACTTATTTTTTATAGGCTGTAACCACATTTATTATACATCCACATCATACGTTTACATTTACATTTAAACACCTAACTCACTTACACAACACACAACATACAACGAAACGAATCCTTTGCATTGTGAACAATATCCTGTTCGTTTTGTTCAAAACTATTCGATTCCTTTTCAATGTTTCAAACAGCAGAAAAAATTATGTTAAAACCCATCTTTGGCATTTGTGTCTCACAATGCGGAGATAAGTGAAGAAAACTGTTTTAAATCTTGTCATTTTTTTAGTTATTAATTTTTAATTTTTAATTTTAGTCTTAGCATATACACAACACAAAACAAAACTATTAAAATCGCGATTATGTTTACGTTAAATGTTAAGTTGTTCTATTTAAGCAAATGGACGATTACGAATAGAGAAACCATTTGCTTAACAATCATTTACTACTGTCATATTGTGTAACTATAATTATTTTTGTTTAGTTTTTACGTTGTTACGTGTGAGGCTACACAGTTCTGTATACATAATTATAATTTAGCTTAAGTGTAATCTATAAACCACTACATCAACCAATGTGAAACGCTTCTGATTATGTTATACCACTGAAATTATAAACATTTAACTATAAACATTATGATTATGATGATAGTATGTACCCCAAAGTTGTTGATGGTAGACGAGAAGGTCTTAGAAAGGGAAGAACGATTATGAGCGATGAGCGAAAGAGAGAGCGAGAGAGAGGGTAAAAAATGCAATTTTTTGTGAAACAATTTGGCTGTTGAAATATATAATTTTTAATTTAATTATGTTTTTGCATTTCGTTTACTATAACTTAGGCCCCAAGCAAATGTTATATTATTGAATTGAATTTATCGCGATTTCCTTAGACCTTTCCTTTTACATTTTCGCATACACATTTTTTTTTTGATTTTGTCGCTGCATTAACTACGGAAGTATTAAGAGGAAACATTTTGCTAAAGACAATGGAAACACTCAAATGCAAAGTATACCAAAAGATTTGATTTTAATTTCTTCTCCTAATTGTGTTTGTATTTTTTACATTTTACATTTTACTTTTAACTCTTAACTTTTTACTTCACTGTGCGAGCTACTTTATTATTTTTATTTTTCTTAATAACTTCATGTTTCCTTATACTTTGTCCTCGTCTTAGTCAACAGAGTGTCTGTAAAACAAAAATATAAAATCAAACTCGAAAACTGTTATAGAAAAAACAACAAAAATTACCATTTTAAATTTGTTTATAGTTTTTATGGAAAGCCTTCAAATGAAATTGTAATTCCACACGCTTTTATTTTATAAACTAAAACCGAAACATAAAGAGGTAAACATTTATTATCTTAATTTTGTGTTTAATTTTTATTTCTCTCTCTTTGTTGAACCAAAAAATGGCAAAAAGTCAATTGTTGCTTTAAAGAAAATTGCAAATTTTTAATTAAATTTAAGTTTACTATGAAAATGATATTAAGTGAAACCGTATATGATTTTTATGCGATGCGATGCGTTTAAGTAGAAAAAAAAAACAAAAACAACAACTTTTCCACACCAAACACACAAAACAAAACAAATTTATTTCCTATGGCATACAAATTTTTAAGTGAAAAACCAAATAAACATAAATGTGCTTAAGTTTAAATCAAATTTACAATTTAGTTGAGATTACGCAACTTAACGACGATAACATTTTACTAACTACGTATGAACTATAGGATTTCTAGCGAAAATATATATATTTACACACCTGTATATATTCGTATTATGTATACAGTTATGTACGATTAGCGAATGGCCCAGAAAGTGGGCGTGGCCAGGAGAGGGGCGGTACTACCACTAGTCAGTGACAATTCCTAACTTTTAATTACTAACTTAAATACGATACGTTACGAACCGAACAGGAAAAGTTAACGAAACCGAAACCGAAGCCGAAGTAATAGTGATTAGAAGAAAAAGGGGCGGAACATGGACTTTTGGACGCTTTTGGACATATTGCCATTTAACAATTAACATTTAACATTAAACATTTAATAAACACCGACTGACGAAAATTGACCAAGGCCGCCCTCCCACCCCCTTCTCCGCCCCCCGCCACCCACTGCGCTTTAATTTTCAAGGCCGAATTCAGCCACAAGCAATAAAATAAAAGTGAAAACGAAAACGAAATAAAATGAAATATGTACGAAAACGTGGGAGGAATGAGATATTTTCTTAGTTGCTTACTGTTTATAATGTGACAAAGTGAAAGCTTTCCACCTCAACTCTTTACATCTATATTATATCTACGTATATCGAAATCACATGTACTGTATTGAAATATATATTAATTTTCGATTCGTATTCCCTGTACTTTATGGTTTTTACTTTACTTTGATGGAGAAGATTCAAACAAATTGTGTACAACTAATTAGGAAATACTTAACTTTACACAGACAACAGCAACACCACACATGTTTCTCAATCACTCGATGTAGTTACGTTAATTCCCAATCGACACACGCATATTATAATATATATACCTATATATAGTCAGCAATTGGCAAGATCAAATCACGAAGTTAAGAAATCGAGCGAATGAAGGACACAAACCTTTTAATAAAGATGCTGCCAAAGATTTTTTATACAATCGATGTGGAAAATTCGGAGAGATGAGAAGAACCGTTTAGAGTTATTGCAAAGTAAAATATTAAATATTGTCCAACTTATTTATACAACGATTATGATTATTATTTTATTAGTTTTTATCATTTTGGTCAAGTGTATTAGTTTTGTTCGTTTTTTTGTGGTCGAAATAAATGGAATGCAAAGATATTTTTGAGACTTTTGCTCAAAATAAAACATGAAACATAAAAACTATATTATAATGTAAAGCAGCGCTATAACTGAAACTAATTAACGATATCGATATTACAGTATTTCAAACTGGATTTGTTGAATAATTTGTTCCTCGATGCGACGCTTAAACCAAAACAAAAACAAAAACAAATTTCGTGCGGATATAAGACATATAACTCTATACATATACGATATACATATTGAACGTGAAGATATATAGAATCGAGTATATGTTTACAGGCAGCCGCCAAAAGGGTATTCACATCAGTCAAGGTCGATGGTTTGGTTAACTACACACCATATACTACCACACACTAAACTACACACACTCGAGCACACTCAATGCCTCCTGATCCACCACCCAAGCCACCCACAAACACCCCACCCCACCCCACAACGCCCCCTCATGGTTTGCCCATTTAGTAGTTCGTGCGTCTTGTATCATACTTGCATTTAGTTAAATTCCGGGACAAGAGCAACACGTAATATAAATCGAAGGTAAAACAAAAACGAAAACATGAAGTAAAACCCAAACAAACGCTTTATACATCAAATTATTTTAATATAAATG